AGAGATGTGCTTCATAAACCACCAACACAACACCTCCAACAGTCAAGATTGTCACAGTACTCATGGACAAGAATGGCCAATGTAGTGCCCACACACTAAAAAGGTAACAAAAATGAACCCAGTAGTTACAAACCACTAAATTATATGTAAGGATAGGGTATAAATTAAAGCTTAAACTAAATGAAAATAGAATCTACAAGTCTTTAGAAAAGGTGGGTCTGAAATAACCTGTTAACAGCTCTTTGAAAACACAGGCGAGCACACAATATAGTGTATTTTGATTTTCATGAGGATTTTATATCAAATTCCTCAAAAAGATTCATTCTCAAATTATAGGTGGTAGGTATTAGGTGGAATATGCAGGTGTGGTTTGAGAATGAATGTGTACAGGTAAGGCACGAATGCTCAGACTGGGCTGATGTTCCCCACAGGGCACAAGTGGAAACTGTGGAAGTGCAAGTAAAACTCCAAACTTGGGTATTTCTGTTGCGGAAGTATAGAACAAGCTACCTAACCTTGTTGTTAAAACCAACATTTTTTCATGCTGAATGGCTGAATGAGATCCTTGATCAATTAACCGACTACTAAATGGGCAAGACTGGCCGTATGGCCTCCTGTAGTACTTAACCTTTATGTTCAACAAAGTGCAAGTGATTCTTCCTGACAGAAAGGCACTCTCTTGCATGATCGAAACCTAATTTATATGAATGATCTAGATTCTGGCTTTCCTGAGTTTCAAGAACTTGTATAAAAGAATTAGGCCTAGGTCTTTATATTTATTTAGACATATCTTATTCACCTTTTGAACAATGTGGAGATGGCAAACAGAATATTTTAAGAAATAGTTAAAAAGTACAGAGTTTAAGTCAAATGATGATATGTTAAATCTGTACAATGCACTAGTAAGACCTATTTTAAATGAGGTCTTACAAGAACATTGTACAGATTGAACATATCATTCCTTGATTCTGGGCAAGCATCTGGCAGATGACATTTAATGTAGATATGTGGAGGATATTGCAAGTAAAAAAAAAGGTACAGATACAAAATGTGAAACACTGAGCTACAAGAGGCTACTTCTGAACAAGACTTGGGTGTCTGTCGACACATCATTTACAGCTTCTTGAAAATCTGGGGAAGCAATTCAGATATTCTATGCCATATGCAGTAGTTAAAAATGTAAGACTGATGCACTCGCAAGGTTTCATTAGGAATAGTGTACAAATTTGACTTGCAATTTACAGGATAGATAACTCTGTTCTGGAATCAGTCTAGAGAAGAGCAACCAGGTATATTCCTGGGATTCCTCGGAAAGTCCTATATTGAATGTGTAAAATAACTGACAAAGTTTTCCGAAGTGAAATGAGTTATGATAAATATGTTCTATGCTATATGATTAGTATTATGGTAAAACATCTTTACATTTCAGTAGGACACCACTGAACCAACCAGAAACTATACCTGCTACTTGATGATTTGTTTTTGTTCCCATTTCATCAAAGGTATGAATAACTCAGGTGGGCACTGTATCCAAGTACACATCAACTGCGTATATTTCATTCTTCAAATCAGAAAACACATCCTCATATTTTACTTAAAAAAACAAATGCATCCTGATGCTGGACTGGCAAGGGTAGCGTCGGGGTTCTATCAAAAGCAAACCAGTCTGAAATTGCAAACAGCAAGCAACAGAAAGTCATACTCTTTCATTTTACTGTACATAAAATATACTGTTAAGCATAAACAGTTTATGTCTTGGCTTGGGGGAAGTATAAGTATATTATTATTATTATAAGTGTTGTATAAAGGTATTAGAACCTCACAATACATGTGAGCAAAACATGGACAGCCTTACTCTAAATGCCGATTCCACCCGCTGGACTAACGAGAGAGCATTTCAGTCTCATCTGCCCTCACCCCCTTTTTCTGGAACGTCTCCAGAGTTTCTTCTTTCCTCACCCCTTGTTTCTGGACTGTGCCCAGACTTTCCACATGCATCAAATTATTTGGTGATGCTGTGCAGAAATCTGATTTCCAACAGAGACCCCACATATATTCGAACCCAGGACTTAACACAATGAAATGGTTGGAAGGCAAGTCAACCAACTGGCAGTCTCACTTATCCTCCAATTTTCCTTTCATGACCATTTTCGAAGATTTTTCACACACACTTGGCAAAAACCATGGAGAATCAATCCTTAAAAATCTTACGGATGCCAATGCAGTACCTCATGAAACTGAAAGCCAAAGTCAATCTCTTATCTCTGACTTGTTTTGTGGCCTTTAAATAAAGATACATAAATGATGACCATAGGGAAATTATTTCCTGTATGGGTTATGAGCTGCACTATTGCAATGATGCATTAAATCCTGATTAGTTTATATTACATCGATATAATTAACCACTGGTATAAAACCCTTTTTCTTTGGTATAAAAACTTTTCAGAGGCATAGCCACTGTCTTCTGTAAAGGCATTTAACCAATATTATTTACCATTGCTAAATGGAGAGTTGGGATTGATTTTTGATACTATGAATGCACTAGGAGGACAACTTTTGAAGAGATGGAAAGTAGGCATTTCATCGCCTTGAGCAGGATTGTTATACTAGAAACTTAAAAAAAATGAAAATCAGGACAGAGAACATCAAGAGACAAGTGGCTGAAAGTCTTAAATCATAGGTCTGTAGTGTTTTAGGGCTTAGAAGACATTCCACTTACTCCATTCAGGTACTGTTTAGGTTTCAATACCATGTGGTGTTTATCACAGCAAGGAAGTGTTCCAATTTAGACAGGAGAGACGCAAAACTAAGTTGAATATGACTTCTCTGGACGTCAGAAGGAAGATGTTTCTCACTTGTACTGTCCTGAGCAAATTCAAAACGAACAGATGAGAAAAGCAGCCTCCTGGCAGCCAGGAGCACCAAGTATAAATTATTGCTCTGACCAAGACTTCTTTGACACATTCCTTTCTTATACTGCACAGAACAGACATTTGGTATAACAATTGTAAAAAGTAAATAATATACCCCTACTCATAACTGCCTTTTTATAACCAGGATCTGATAAGGAGAACAGCAAAAGGTTGTTACATTAGGAAACCTGCTCAGGTGATCTCTAGATCTTAAACTTTTTTCATGTTTGTCTTCTGTTTCATATTATAATAGTTTGCATTCATATGGCCAGATAATCTTAAATCGGCATTATATTGTTGGTAAATATGCACTGTTTTAATACATATAGGGACATCTCCAAAAGAATTGTGTAAATCGGTTACAATCAAATGGATCTGAAAAAAATCAAATTGGGCAAAGAAAATAAAATTCCCAATTAAAGTTGATGAACTGAAGCGAAATGAGAGTATTCTCTATTAGATTTTTTTTAAATGTTAATCCTTTGTTTTGTCAGTCTTCCACAATACACTGTAGTTTCACGATCTGTCTAGCAAGTGAATGAATTACCATATCAATGCCTGTGTTGAATATCTCCCAACACCTTTTGCCCGGGGTGACTGCAATGTGTAAAAGAACTCACCCTCCTGTGGCTTACCAAAAGTGCAAGCATTCATGATGACTGAAACCTTCAGGTTATACAGCAAGCCGTATTTAATTTTACATTTCAAAACCATGCTGGAATTCCAATTCCCAAGAAACATTAACGCGTTGCTGAGATTTTGAAAGTACTGTACTGCTATTCATTCAAATGCTGTAAGCACATTACTAAAACACTTTAGGAAGAAATTTTTAATTTCTCGGAGAAATAAAATGATTATTGCAAACCTTTATGTGGTTCAAGTGCAGTAAAAACGCAGTCACCTTAATAGTTGGCCTTGAAACTACCGCAGAACGCGCTTGATTGTTTTTCCAGGAAAACATGTCAGTCAAAAGATATTTCCAAAGTGTGTTATATATAGCAAAGATTTTTTTTACTGGGAAAGTGCTATGATACTAGTTATCCTTTGTCCCGTCCCCTCCCCCCCAAGCAGTGATGATACCAAATGGTTGAACCCAGGAGCCCCGAAATGAATAACAGGAAATTTAAGCATCTGTCACCTCCCGTAGAGAGGTAAACGGATTAGCGAATCTGACAAAGGCAAGAGATCACTTTTAAATATGCAACTGATTAACACATTCGTTACAATCGGCCCCTTCAACACTATTGGCTCATACTGAACTCTTCTTTTGTTTCCTCTGGTACAGTTCAAAGATAATGATGCATGTTCATCGAGATAATGACAAATTTTCATATATAGTCACACAGACGTTCCACAAATATAAAAAAAAGGTTCATAGGGACTCTGGTTTCTCTTCATATCGTATCAAACTTTGCTGAGGACTTGTTATCTACATATTCTATAGATATAGCGTTTCCCCTGTATCCTGAATCCACTCTTGCAGTACATTGCGACTTATAACATGAAAATGATCACGCACTGCCTCTCCGTAATATACGTGCGCTCTCAGCTTTTCAAAGCCTAGCTTCTTTTATTAATATAATAGACAAGCTAAACGCCCTCTCGCTCCTCAGACTCTATGGACCCTTTTGAAAGTGATGCTTGCAGAGGGCTTTGCAAACGGCCCTGGGTCAGATGTTAACAACCTGAGTTTATCCAGCTCTAAAAGCAATTGTAGTGCTTGTTGAACCGAATCCCAATGTTTCCTGGACACAGAAGAAGTTGCTTTCAACAGCCAAACACGGAGGAAATAGTACTAAGTACAATACAGAAAATAATACATTATTTACATTGAAAGCTTCTAGAATACTGTAATGTAAATGAATAAACTACACTCAACCGACAGTTTAATATTTCCATCTGCATCTAAACATGAAATTTCCACTGCCCCCTTTTCGCAAACTTCCACACGCGACAGAGCATGCCACTCAATGAACCACTATCAAAAAGATTTAGAATTAAGAGTGCCTTATGAAGACGGTGAATGCTTGCTACATATGTGTAGTACTGTTTGTTCTAGTGTTAAAGGTACAAAAATTCGGAACTTACCTGTGCATCTCGATCTTGGCAGCGATAAAACTAGCACAACCAAAAATTGGAAGAAACAGGTCAGAATGCACCGCTTTATCCTTGATTTGCACATCACTCCACAAAGTTGCGTATGTCTCTGCAAGCTAAAGGCAACTACTGCAATTGCATCCGATCTGCAGAGCACAGGCAGCTGAAAGCGTCCCAATAACTTTTTCAAAGAAAACAATTTACTGACCGAATAGTGCACGTTACAAATAGAACAAACAACTTTAGGTCTTATGTTTTCAGGTGTGTGATAAGGGAAAGTCCTGCCTGTAATATTTTTTTCGAAATAACGAGGAAGAGCATCCCGTGAAATTAAAAGAAAGACCGTAGATATTCTCTATCCCTTCCCTGTGATTAGTGAATATCCCCCAAAAAAGTGAGCGAAGAAACACTCCATCCACCATGACGTCACATAGCACTCTCCCAGGGGAGGGCAGCGAACTTTGGGAATCTAATTTAGTAAACCGAATGCGCCCTCTAAGGGCGACAAAGGGCAGTGGCTGAAACTGTTGTTTTAAGATGGCATGTTGAAAGTTCGTCTTCCCCGCGACCGGGAATTGGATGAACGGAATAGAAAATGCAGTTTAAATAAGACCAAAAAGATTTGACGATCGTTAGTCACCCTGTGGCAGACCAAATAATGCAAAAATAATTTACGAAATTTGTTTAAATTCATTAGAGGATGAATTCATTTTAAAACTTTCTTTGGGTTAGAAAATTGTATTTTATTGGAACTCCATGGGATATCTATTAGGACAATAAGAAAGTCATAAAGGTTATAAATGAGAGGCAATAAAGGAGACCCATCTAGCCTGTTTGGTAAGTACTTATTAGGATGAGATTTGAGGATCTCCTCCGGCCGTTTTTTGAAAGAAGCCAACATTACAGTTTCAACAACATGGTAAGCTTACTCATTACACTTAAACCTTTTGCATATAAAAGCACGTACTGTTCCCAGATTTAAATGTACTGGCACATAGTTTAACTTGTATCCTAATAATAACAGGGATCCAGATTCCCAGTACAAGTCAATTAGTGTACACACTGCAAATTGTCCATCAATGTACTATAAGATTCTTAATAATAATGAATTGAAAAACACTGGAAACCACATATGTAGCTCTGTAACGCCACACTGTACTCTTTCTCTTTAAATTACTCAAAATCGTTATAAAACAGCATGCTTCAATGGGCTCTCAAATATATCAGATTGACAGAGAAGCGGTTTCTTCAGGAGCTTAAACTTCATAGGTTCTGAGATTCAAAGACAAAGAAACTGTCGGTACAGACAGGTGCACACCTGACACACACAGGGACTGGAGTCGCTCTAGCAAGTCTAGCATCCAACAGAAAGCCTACGCATGTCCTCCTTCTATAGACACTCTGTGGATGTAGTAAATGATGGCTCAAGGTGAAGTCAAGGCCTCCATCATGAGTCGGTGTCTTTATTTCTGCAAGGAAGACTCCCATGAACATAAACATTACAAACGAGAAGAAGCCTTTCAGCCCAGCATGCTCTTTGGTTTCTGGTAGCTGATTGATCTAAGGATCTCGCCCAACCTTTTCTTGAAAGAAGGTATCAGCTTCAACAACATGGCTGGCTATCGTAATCCAGAATCACACAATCTCCTTGGAGTTGCTAATACTGCTGAAAGGGGACTTGTGATGGGCCACCATGGACCTACTACACCACACACAACTTGTAGATCGAGCAAGAGCTCCACCTCCCCAAAACTAAAGCCAGTGCAGTGTATTTCCAGCCCCAGAGTGGACAACTCTTGGGTCTCAGTGCATAGTTGGTGCACAGTGCTGCCACTCTCAGCACTCACCTACTGTGCATGTAAACACAATTTGCCAGCCACTCTCGCCAGGTCCCAGTGACCTCCGAAGGTGGTACAGAACAGCATCTCCCACCTGCAGAGAGATCCAGAGTGTTGCCAGTCTTTAAACTACCGTGGAGCTAAATCACACTTTCAATACCTCAAAGGCTTGCTGGAAACTTTCAATCCACTTAAGTGGAGCTCTTTTGCCTGTGACTCTCTGTAGCAGACTGGCTAACACGGAAATCAGTTGCTGGATGGATCCCTGGGACAGGTGAGCTTTTTAGGAAAGTCTCAGATGGACACCAAGTTTTTTGAAAAGATCCATGCTTGATGCTTACAAGATGGAGAAGAAACTCTTAATACTGATCTCCGAAGGGCCCACAAGACCACTGAGATGCTGAGTCCTTAAGCAGGGACCAGACACCCCTCTATATTCTTGTGTGTTGGGGTGTAAACCATCCTTCTATCTCATAATTGCTTCATCTAATTTAGGATCCCAAGGGAGCTGGAACCTATCCTGGAAAGCTTTGGGTGCAAGCCAGGATAAACCAAGGTAGGGATGCCAATCCATCCCAGGGAACACACAGACACAAATATGCACACACTCACACCAGGGCCAATTTTCTTAGAAGCCGAATAACCTACCAGTGTGTCTTTGGACTGTGAGAGGAAACTAGAGCACCCAGCAAAAACGCATGCGAACTTGGGGAGCACATACAAACTCAATGCAGATAGCACCCCGGGTCTGGAATTAAACCCGGGGCCCCAGTGCTGCAAGGCAGCAATGCTAACCACAATAATAAGGGCACAAAATTAATTGTAGAATAACTCAATGCAGGTAAGCAGTTTCCAGAGGCCTAGGTCAGATTGAAGGATTGTTGGCACAGTCCTCTATAACTAGTCACCCATATGAAGTCTCTTGGTAAAGCAGACATGGGAACCCAGATTGGCTTGTGAAGTCAGTTGTGAACCACAGATAGACAAAATTGGTGCTGACCATTCCTAGACACATACTGTATGCTGAACCTCTTTCATTGGAGGGGAAAGCACAGTTAGGCAGAGACCTTTGAGGAAGAAGCCCAAACGAGGCAATGAAACAGTAAGCTAAGAGGGTTCCAATCCAATCATCTACTTTTTAAGGATTGAAACATAACTAACACTTCTGAGCCCAGAAGAGAGAAAAAGTAATGTTCCCAGGCAAACAGCTATAGTTTTTATATTTGAAGATTTGCTTTTGCATTTTCTTGTTGAATCTGCCAAGTAGAGCTTGTATATATGGTATACACTATTAGCTTTAAACAACCACTTCTCACAATTTTGCAGAGAACAGACTGCTCTCTTTTACTTCTTTAAACTGATGTGCCCATGGTTAGTTGCAGTAAGACTGGTACATGTTTGAGGTGGATGTGAGGGACTGGAAAAGGCCTGGGCTCAGGGACTCATAATTTTACAAAAACTATTATCAAAAATAGTTTTTGTGTTTGTTAAATGTTGCAAATATATATTCATTTTTCTATTGCATTTGTGCCATCCCACCATGCCAAGTAACTAAAGAAACTATGCAAACCACTTGGGTTTTTTTTCTCATTCCTGACTACAGGGGTCTCGTTAACTGGATTTTGGTGTCCGGACGATTTTTTTACTTTTACCTCAGAAACCAACCCCATACCCCTGCCAGCCTAATTGTGCAATTAGGAAAGGTGACTTTCTTATATAAGAGTATCTATTTTGTAACAATATTGTAGTTCACAGAAAAGAGGACTAAAGTTTCTGAAGATACACAAATATTCTGACTATGTTTGATATTTCTGGCGCCTGATGGATCTCAAAGTGTGAAATTGCTTTCCAGAGTCCCGGAGTTGTAGTCGGGGTCTGATTGAGAAGCTTATCATTGCACCCACTCTTATATTCCCTGACTGCACAAAGCTGTACATTCTGCACGTAGATACCTGCATGGCGTGACTTGGAACAATTCTATATCAAATACCCCCAGGGCTGAGCACATGTGGCTTATGGCAGCAGAAACTTATCCACCTCAGAAAGGAACTATCTGATCCATAAAGTGGGAATTTTTGGTGCTAAAATGTGTAGCAGTGTGTCGATTTCGCACCTGGAATAATATTGAGAATTGCACTATGAGGGTGTATTAACTCAACGGTGTATATTCTGAAATCAGCTTGATGCAAATGCACATTAATGATAAACGGCCTGTATGCAAGCTGTATACAACTTCAGGAGATGGTACTGTTCGGGATACCATAACATTGATATGGGCTTTATCCCAACATATCAGCTGACTGCATGTAGATGAAAACCTCAGCACCAGGGACACTAGCATTTTGTAAGCTTGCTGAAATGCAAGCAGGGGACATAATACTATGGCTACTAATACACTTGGTTTTGAGTATTTTCCAGAGTTAGGTGGAAAGAAAAAAAGGAAACTGGGGTTGGAAGGGCCAGGTTTCAGAAATTCCTCCTACAGTATCTCAAGCTGACAACACAGCTCCAGATGCCTCTACTGTAAATGTGTGTTTGCACCATGGAAGGCAACAATATGATACACGTGTCTGCAATTCCTCTCCAACTGTATTGTACAATCTACTGTAGTAATCTCTAATCTTGGGCGTTCCAAATGATTCCCAGAGGTTTAATCAGTCTTCCACCAGGAGTTAAAGATTAACTCACTCATTTCAACCACTTTCACTAAATTAAGAACTTAGTCTGATAAAGGGTTACAGTAAGATAGAGACTAACCTAGCAGAAATTGGTCACAAGGCAGGACTCACCCTGGATATGATGCTGTCCCACTTTAATGATACCATTTAACCTAGACAGCTTGTTTTTGGATTATGGCAAGAAACCAAACCATAAAGAAAAGGCCAATTGAAGTCCGAGTCCAAGAACTGTGGAGCAGCAGCACCAATAACTGTGCCACTGACCTGCCCATATTCATGCCTAAATAATATTTCTTCAGGTCACTGAGAGATGGTTTGTAATCCAGAACACATTGAAGGCCCATGTACATGTAAGCCCTATATATACATACCTACAGATGGCATCTGTAACATCTTTACATCTGATAACTATGCTGCCTATTAATCATCCCTGTTGGACAGTCATACTGTAGGTCTTTGCAGAAATGTAATAAAATTCCTCTGTTGGATTTGCTCCTGTTTGATGAAAACTATTCTGAGAACTTTTAATTCACGATTGATTTGCTGTTTTAAAAAAGAACAGCCTGGACAAAACACCATTCCAACTCTTTGGACTGTGGGATAGAATTGGATAACCCAGAGGAAACCCATGTGAGTAAAGCAAACTCCACACAGATAGCACCCAAGGAACTGAACGCAGGGCTTCAATACTGCAAGACAGCAATGCTAACCACTGTGTGTCCATGCCACCCATCTTATTATATTTATCGTAAATATACAATATGTACATTTGAATTCAGCATTAAAAAAGCACTTTGTCACAGTTGTGAAATATGCCTTACTTTGGAAAGGGAGAAAGTTTTAATAATGTGTATTTCGGACTTAAAAATCTGGACATGTATAAAGAAAACAGACAAAGCATTTTGCAAATTCTCCTTTTCTGGTGTCCGTGGATATGTCCATCCCTACACCGTTAACAAGGACCAGATGTAAAAGCCAAAACAAACCATGTCAATGTGTGATAAAACATGGATCTTATTTCAGTCATACAAACTCAATCTTACTATATTTATAGTTTTTCTATTTTTATTTGATCAAATAAAACATCCCTGAAAAGCTACATATTTGACTAATTTGGAAGCAATATACCTATTTTTAATAATATTCTATTCTTGATTTTGCTTTAACGACTTATTTAGTGAAAGCAAAGAATTGAAATGTAAAGTCTGAATGGAAATCATTGCAAGAACAAGTTATTAATTCAAATATTTTAATGTAAACAACATGGAAGTGTTGTTTTTTAATCAAATAAGATTCCGTCTAACCCATAGTATTGTTAGCAGCAAAAAAGGCACATTCGCTGTAAACTGCATATTTGATAGTGTTGTGTAAAAACATTAATTTGGACAACATAAGCATAATATCCTCAAAAATAAAAAACTTTAAAATTCTATCATTTGTCACGGATACTGATATACAAAATGGTATAGAACTTAACCTAAGGCTTTTATAACTTAAATCTTCATAATCATGAAGACATGGAAAGTTTTTAAGAAAAAAAAAAGATAATGCAATACATTAAGGCTATATAAATGTGACACTATACCAAATATTCATAACAAAGTCATCCTATCAGTGTTTGGAAAAAATCTGTTTTATGAACAACAAAAAAAAGCAAATCAAATATGCACGTTAAAAATGCAGCAAAACACAAAGTAAAAATTCACAAACTGGCCATATTGACACTGCCAAAACATAAAACAATTAACCTCAAGAGTCTAAAACATTCAGAGTGAAACACCAATATTAATGCTGCTAATTTGACATACATGTTTTTTTATTAGACTTGTCCGTTCCCTGGAATTATTAATTGCACAACAACATAGACAAGTAGATTTTTATTTAAAAAATGTTTCATACTTGATAAAACAGCTTTCTGTAAGAGCTTCTGTGAACTATCTATTTGGAAAGTAGATTTCAAGATCAAATATGTCATTAAAGAAAAAAAAATACTCAATTTAGTTTTCCTTTAATATGAATAAAATAACTTAGTAAAGCAAAACGTGGTATCTGACAAAATATTTATAAAAGATTACATACATACAGAATTCAATTTATCTTCCCATTAGGTTGAAAAGCATGCTCTACAGGAATGAAAACTTGCTATTAATCAAAGACAGACTGTGTCTGAAAGCAACAGACCACAGATTTATGAAGACTAGGAACCAGTATGGAAAGACAGCCTTTCAAAATAGTTTTTGTATGGCTTTGTCAAAACCAGCTAGGAAGAAAAACAAAGTAAGTGGTGCAAACAGACCAATTTCACATATTTTAAAAATAGTATTTTGCACACCCCAGCATATTAAACACTCATTAAATAAGCGTTACAGTGTTTGTGTACGATATGAAAAAGTTCTGTTGGACAGTCCTGCAACATGCTTCCCAAATAACCCAGCTAATTTTAAGACGACATCAGAAATTTCTGGAGAACTTTTAAATACTCCAGCTCTTTCCCCATCCACGACTGTCTGAAGGCAGCTCACTTCAGAATGGATTGTGCAGCTTCTTTGATCAGAGCTGCTGCCATTTCCAGTTCTTCTTCTGTCTGCTGCACAGTAACAACCACTCGGACACTGTGAAAAGATTTAAGCACAAGGTGAATAACGCAGTACATTAGTTTGAGTCTGAAGGGACACATACTGTTTAATGTAAATCAGCAGCAGCTGGTTTCACTTGTGTATAAATGATATTTTATAAGAAATACGATATTCTAAAATATAACTCACCACAGAATTAATCCACAAACAAAAAAATGCAACCAGTTTTATATCACTATTTTAGTTCTGCTGCCAAAAACACATTTTATGCTAAACTGCATCAAGCAGCAGTTAGCTTTCAAATTGAGTTTCCAACCAAGTTCAAAGATAAAATTCAGGAAATATAACCTTAATCACATTCTTCAACAAAATGTTAAAAGCACGTTTCAAGGTTTACACAAATATACTTTAAAAATACTCTTACGTAGGCGGTGGAAGATTTTTTTCTTCTTTGTCCAAGTAGTGGGCCTGGGTAAGTGCAATCTGTCTGTCCATACACTGTTCAATAATAAATAAACTTGAGAAACATCATAAAACTCAGCATTCACAAGCACAATGTTCATAAAGCTGCTTTCCATTTGTATTTAAAAAGAAAGCATTTCAAGAAAGAAAAGGCAAACGTGTGTATACATCTATAAACCTTATCGCTACACTGGTTGTTCTGTGAATCCCATAGTTGAGTTTTTGCAGAATTTCTAATAATAACTCTGACACCTAGTATCTGGTCAAGCAAGCAGAGTTTTCAGTGTAGAGAGAAGAATTGCTAATACCATGTATCTGTAAACTCTGGGCAAATTCACACATTTGTCTAATGTCTAAAGCTCCTATAAGCTACTTTGAAACCCATAATAATTTAATACTTCATAGCACACACATTAGCATCAAATTGCAAGCATGAATATTTTCAATACAATCTTTTCCAAATATGAATGAAAAATCAAAACAAGCTAAAATTCTTGACAAATAATGAGATAATTTTTCAGACACCAGTAGCCGAGAACCATGTCAAAAACGTGATTTTGCTGTAAATTCAATTTGAATACATCAGAAGTTCTCTCAATGTGGGACTACTGAGTTTTCTAAGCAAAAATAGCATCAATATCTATAAATAAATATGCAGTCATGACAGAATGAGGCACACAGCTTCAAAGCATTTATTTTTGTAGCACCAGCATTTCCTCTATTGAAAACATTTTAAAAAAGCTTTGGAATTGTGATTAACCCGAAATGCTTTATCTAAATTATAGCTTGAATTAGTTTTTGTAAACAACAATTGTATCAATCAATATCTGAAGGAATGATAGAGACTAAGCTACCCTTGAACAGAATACTTTTAAATTTGTGTGCTTTAGTTTTACTTAGTTTGTTCCACTTACGTAATCTACAATAGCCCGTAGTAACTTAACATCAGACTCCCTTGATCCAGTAGTCTTCTTCAGTTGTAAATGAAAAGCTGGTGAGAAATATTCCCCAACTACCTTCAGGCCAGAAATTCTGTATGATTTAACACAAAACAAATTGATTGAGAAAAATCTGTGAGTTGGGAAACTCAGAACACTAACTTAGGAAAAGAGTTTTTCTGTTGCCATCTGAAAGCAGTTAGCAACATACATAAAATTTTACCTCACTTGGCTAAAAAGAGGTTCTTTATTACTGGGATATATGTTTCAGTGCTTTGTCTAATAAATGGCTTCTTTCTTGTGTCTTACAAGCACTGCACAAGCCAGTAAAGACAAGACGTTGTGGTGAAGGGATTGATATTGAAGTTAAAAGAACAGGCTCCAAATACAATACAGATGGAAAATAGTTTGTGTACACTGGCTTGCATTGATGTATTAATAGGATGTCTAATAACTGTGTAAAGAATATTAATTTCCCTTGTTTTAAGTTAAACTTTTATCAAAATATTTATTTTTCACCTTTCATCTGCTTTGTTTTCAATGTCATTTTCTGCTTCTCTGTGGTAACATTATTAGGTTAACCAAGATAGCAGTTAATATTTTTAAGCGGAAAAATGCAAGTTAAAAATGAATTCACACAGATGGCCAATTTACTATATACTAAAACATCAAGCATAAATTCAAGTGAAGTTTAGTGTTGTCCATGGAAAAAATATAACCTTACCCTTGCAAGGCATTGTGGATGTGCTTACATTTATTCCTCAATATTGTGAAAATTTCTATAAAAAAAACAAAAATAAACACTAAGGCATTTAACATTTAATGTTAATAGCATATTCAATAAGTATGTCATTAACAGTTTTAATGGGTAAAATCAATTGCGTTAATACCAAAATCTACTTGCTAAGTAGTAAGTGGCCAGTCTAGGCCTGGCACCCTTTCAGCAGCAGTGTCAGGGACCTTCTTGTTAAAGGGAAGAAGCCCATCTACTCCAAATACAAAGTTAGGACCCTCAGCTATCTTCCTTAGTTACCAGGTGTAGCATAAGTAAAACCTGTGACTGTGTAATCTCTCAGATGTAACATCAGATGTAGTACTTGAGACTCTAACATCTGTATAATTCTAAACAATTTAAAATTGTGAAAGTGCCAATTTCTATGAAAATATGGGTGAACTATGAAGTAATATTTCATTAGGCTTATATTAGACTACAACATGTTTGTCAAGAAAGGATTCTAGATATCAAAATTAAAAGTACTCATGCAACTAAATATGTATTTTTATATAGGATTATGGTACACGAAAAGTCACGGTAGACCACATAGTGAGCATACATATTTATATAGTAAAATACTACTAACTAACTTAAGCACAATCTGTAGTTTCCTAGAGATATTGTATGAATCAATACTGAATGTGCACATATCCACAGAATGCATGCCAATTAAATTAAGTGGAATGAAAGAAAGCATTCAGACATTCAATAAAATCATTTAAGCCAGTTTGTATCTGAACAGATCTTGCAAGGTCAGTTAGGTAAAATAAATGATCAGTTCACTGTGTGTTCTGTATACTGAATATGGGCACGTATCGAGGCAATTCTCCACAACACAATACGCTTATTTACCTGGATCTTCCTCCATGATGTTAAGTGCTTCTATTGCAGCTGCTGCAAGCATAGGTGGTAGAGACGCTGAAAAGCAGTAGCCCTGTCCAGAGAGACGCTAGAAAACATAAAACAAAAAGACCAAATCAAAACAAAGAAAATATTCCTGGAAATAAAAAAATAAATAACTGAGTAATAAGGAAGGACAGTTTAACACCTTGCACTGCACTACATAGCCAGCAGCCTTATCGCTCTGCAGCTCACAACTGGCAACCCACTGAAGCTAGGCAGGTGTGAGCCTGGACAGTACCTGGTTGGGAGACCTCCTGGGAAAAACTAAGATTGTTGCTGGAAGAGGTGTTATTGGGGCCAGCAGGGGGTGCTCACCCTGCGGTCCATGTGGGTCTTAATGCCCCAGTATAGTGATGGGGACACTATGCTGTAAACAGGCGCCGTCCTTCGATGAGATGTAAAACCAAGGTCCTGACTCTCTGTAGTCATTTAAAACCCCAGGGCGTCTCTTGAAAAGAGTAGGGTTATAACAAATTCCTGGCAAAATTTCCCATTGGCCCTTGCTCATGGCCTCCTAATAATCCCCATCTATGAATTGGCTTCATTACTCTGCTCTCCTCCCCACTGATATCTGGTGTGTGGTGAGCGTTCTGGCGCACTATGGCTGCTGTCGCATCATCCAGGTGGATGCTGCACATTGGTGGTGGTGGTGGAGAGGAGTCCCCATTACCTGTAAAGCGCTTTGAGTTGAGTGTCCAGAAAAGCGCTATATAAGTGTAAGTAGTTATTATTATTACATAAATTATAGATTTGTGTCATCATCAGGCTGGTGATTTTCTTCGTACACTTAAAGTACCACATGTAAAAAAGCACCATATAAAAACGTTTTCATTCTGGATATGTGCAAACCAATGCTTGTTCTATACTTTGTAAAACCCATACTGAACAGCTAAGAGCAACTGCTGAAGAGGTTAAGTAAGAAAATCGAAGTATAGGAGTACAGGTTTAAATGTGAAAAAAAAAAGATTCCTCCATAGCCCATCAAACTCCTCTATGTAGAAGGATAAATTCTAAGACCAACTTGGAAAACATTTTAAAAACTGTTTGGGAAGTCTGTGATGGCCAAAATTATACCAGCAAAATGATACATTAAATACTACATAGCTGGTTTTACTAAAGCTAATGATTATATGCCTTTTGAGAACTTGCACAGTGGAATTTTAAATGGATTTGGTTGATAAATATAAAACAATGGAGATACTGTAGCTGGACAACTCTCTAGGAATTCCTTCCGACCAAAAACACCAACTGAGATTTTTTAAAGATATGCTCATCTGTCATTTTTATGTAGAAAGTATTCAACTTTTATTTTATATCTCTGAAAAATGCAATCTTGAATGATATGCTTAAAACTAAAATTGTTTGGATCTATGTAACCAAAACAAATGAAAAAAAAATATTAATACTGAAACTGAATAGAATATAATTGATGATATTTCATTCCATTACAATAATTAAGAAAAATGCAATTTTATAAAAAATGTGTAGTAAACGGTAAAAGATAAACAGTAAAATATGCATTCCAAATCTTTGCTTACAAAATAAAGATAAGAGTATTTTTCCACCTGAAATGTTTCTACATTTTGAAAACTCAGACAGCATCAATCCTGACATTTTCAAACAGGACTTTAAACTAAGAATCTTCACAATCGACTCCAAACTCATAAAACTAAAATGTTGATAGCATGGAAACAAGCAAGAAGAAAAGTAGAAGATTCTGCCTAAATCAGTTCTGTTGCAAACATTTAGTGTGAAGGGTTCCAAAATTTGTGTAATGGTGATCAAAGTAACTTGACTTCAGAGTAAAACACACTGATCTCTGCCAGTTCCCCCAGTTAGATATTAGATTTCAAAGCCACAACTCACATAGTGATACACAAATCAACCACGAAGACCAAAAGCTTTAGAAATAAGTCAGGATACAGTGCTAGAGACATACAGATCAGAAAAGGTTACAGGAAAGTTCAAAGTCACAGTTCATCATTAACAAGTATAATGTGCATCATTTCCTCCAGCCACTACACAGGTCAGATTGCTCTTCCAATCTGGGCAATCAGGAATTTGGTTAGGGACGCCACAGCCTTAAAAAGATTGGTCTGAGATGGAAGGCAATGTTTATTCATAGACAATACCCGCTATAACACACAGCTGGCCTATATGGGCAAGTGGCAAGAGAGAAGACATTACTAAAGACGTTTGCTATAAAGCATGTAAATGATGCAGATGTAGCAAAAGGTTTAGTGGTCAGATGAGACAAACTGAAAAACTTTCTGATCCAAATGCCAAGAATTATATCTGGTACAAGTCCAACACATCACATCATCAATTGGGTAATATCACTCCAAGGTCAATGCCCCACTAGAGTGGTGCTCTTTCTTTGTGTGTAGATAGTTGTTTTCTCTTAAGGTTGACACCTCAACTTTTTGCAATTACCAACATCTTAAAGAACTGCTTAGTTTGAAGTGTACATGTGAGAACTGGCATCAGAAGGTCTGCTCAGATTTCCAACATCTGAACAGCTGTGATATCAGCAACGTGAATTTTCCAGTGTATCACGGGATGGGCACTGAGGATTTTGAAATGCACCACAGTAAAGGCAAAATTATTTTTTCCCTTTTAAATACCTATTTATTTCCGAGACAATGTTTCAGATGTCAATACCTTTACAAGGAAAATACACAGATATTTCAAGCCTCTTTGATTAAAATGATGTGCCTCAGCAAGGCCAAGGATCACACTAAATGGTACACATAGGGCACACATAAACACAAACAAAACACACTAAAACTATGTCTTTGGACTGTGGGACAAAATCAGAGCAGAGGATCCCATGTAAACAGTGGGAGAACACACAAAGTCCACACAGATAGTACCCACTTGTTTATACAAGTTTAAACAATTAAAACATTCAAGCAATAATATCTTTTAACTATTTTACCTGATGATCAATCACAAATGATCTTCCGCAGCAGAAGCCACCAACAGAAGCTAAGGCATTCTCCATATTTGCACTGATAAGATCAATATCGTCAATCTGAAAGAAAGTCAATCAGAAACAAAGATGAAAGACATTTTCTGAATGCATCACACAGTGATGGCAGTATAAACTTCGAAAGATGGATTCTATTTTTTTTATTTAAAAAAAAATCAAAAGCATTGCCCATTTCTCTTCATAGCTTATTTCCAAAGATCTTACCATACTTATCATTTAAACAACTTTAATTACTAAAATGTAACTTTGCAGGTTAGCATATTCTGATATTTTTACTTCCAATACTCACATTCACTCCAAAATGTTCAGTGACTCCACGACCGTGTTCTCCTAGAACCCCAAAAGACAGGCTCTCTTCCAGGAAAATACGGACCTTGTACTTATATTTCAGCTTGACCTAGTAAAATACCAGAGAATACAGAAATTTGAGCAACCCTATTAACTTTGAAAATGTCAGATCTTTTAAGCAATTATTGTTCATTGCAGTGTACCTTTGATGATTTTGTTTTTAAAAGTTTGATTTTCTCAGTATCTTAAATATATCACAAGACATGAAAATGTCTAGTTTCTTTACGATATGGTAATGACCATTAACATCAAAACATCACAAAAAACACATTGTGGAAAGATGTTTAATTTGTTAAGTTCTTAAGTGAACAAGTTAAAAACGTTTTAACTTTTTACACCAATATAAATTGCCACTTGTTAGTTTGGTTCTTCTATGTAACACATATTGATAAATTAAAATTAAAATATTGATCCTACACCTCTTAGTATCTGGAGTATTGTTGTTTCAGATGTGACATTTTACATAAACAGAACAGTTCCCATCAAATTGTCTGTTAAAACTATTGTTCTTCTATGCCAAAATTCAGAACAAACATCATTTAAACATTCTCCTATAAGATCCAAAATCATAAAGCACTAGATGGTCAATTTAAATCACCATGTTTATTATTCTTTTAGCTTGCTACCCACTTCAAATTATGTTTTGCAAGAAAATTACACAAAAGGTATGTTTGACTCTCCCCTAGTCTGTCTTTTAGGCTTTTTATAATAATCTACCATTATTATATAGTTACTTAAATCCTAAAGTCTAAATACAGTTCTTTTCACTCTTTGATCCAAATAAATAGTGTATCTCAATTTAAGAAATTACATTATATTTAAAATGCATGTCAGTTATGTATTCATTTTAAATTTGGAGATAGACTTATGACTCCTGTTAAAAATGACAGCTCTGTCAAAACCTTTGGGATACCGTGTTTAAGTTCAGTCTTTTTGTTGGATGATTGCAATTCTGTCTAGCATCAGCCTGCTTATTTAAATAAAATACACTATACTTAAAAATACACATGCTTCTTAGTTTTATTGATGTTCTCACTAAAACAAAAAAACAGCAAATTTCAAAGTAACTGGAAATTTGTACAGGAGTGGCATCACTAAGATAAATATTTTGATATTTATTTTTATATATGTAGACGTATTATAAAACTTTTAGGGCTAGATATAAACGAACATATCAAACTCCAGAATATTAAGTTAGATGTGCTGCTTTAACTAATTAACTAATTAACTAATTCAGGTACTTCATACATGTTGTCAAAGCCAATATCCTGCCCTTTTCAAGAATCATGTGGGTAAAATCCTCAGATCAATCATATTCTAACATCCAGAATGACAAGATGGACCAAATGGCTGCTTCTTTTTTGCGATCTTATGACTCAATGATGGAACAGTACAGTCTGTTTTGCTATGAATAAATGCCTCCCAAAAACACATACCAGTCCACTGTTTGTGATTTGATCTTCTCAGGGAACTACAGATGAAACCTTTAAGATATTCCTTTATAAAATATAATTTTTGTTTAATGAAAATAACTCCTGCAGAGAAGAGGTTTCATTTAAAATAATAACCTCACCAGTTCTGGGAGAGGACAGATGTCTCCAGTGTTGACATACAGGCCTTCAACCACAATGAACCTCCGAGTCACCCGAGCTTTGCGAGGATTCTGAAAATGAAGAGTAATCACAGTGTTTATCTGTTTATCTCAAACAGGATTCCTAAAGCACAGCTGGCATGGGAGAGATTAAAACTATTTTGCCAGAAGTAAAAAGAAAATCTGACACACAAGATTAAAATTTACAGAGATTTACATTTTGAAAGAGTACCGTCTTAAATTCTTCTGAATGCCCTTTTTACAATAATATTATACCCAGTTGTGTACAAACATTTTTGTATTGTTTAGAAAAACTTTTTTAAACATCACAATTATGTCCCAGTTTATATAAATTAAGCAAAACATAAAATATAGCAAAAAGAAAACAAACAAAATGCTTTTAGAAACGTTGTACAAAACTGATCAAACTTAACAATTTTGTTCAACCTAAAATTTAAAATGCACCATGCAGGAATTCTATAATCTAATTACGTAAATATAAACGAAAAGACAGTTATTCCTTTTTTGTGAACAATTCTTTTCATATTAAGTTTCACTTAAAATAAAATGGATTTTCATAAAACAATCCTGGTACAAAAAAAGAAAAAGTAAGGTATATGAGAATTTAAATTTAACTGAGTTTTCTCAGAATTTTACCAATGCAGCACACTGTAAGTTGCTACATTTTCTAAAAGGAAATTTAAACAGAAAACGTACACAAAACTAACATTACAATCCCTTTGGTGGTGCATTTTATTTATAGTACAAATGCTTCTAACTCTTTTTTCAGTGAGCTAAATTAGGAAACCAAAGACTTTAGCGAGCTGTTATGCACTAACCTACCTTTTGATCTTCAATTTCTTGCTCCTTTAAGAGACGCTCAAGGTCCTCCATGTCATTGTGTTTGAAGTACTTAATAAAACTGCGGGAGGCTTGCAGCCCCTTCTGAATTGAAAAACATGCAGCTTCATCCCTAAGAATAAAAAAAAAAGACCTCCATAAACAACAAAGCATTCTTAAATTCCACAGTGCTCTTGTTTTCTTTTGTTTTTTGAGCTTTGAGGAGGTTTCAATAAAGAATTATAATGTGCCTATGTATTGCGACAGGTATTACCAATAGCACGACTAAGGTACAGGTCATGTTGACGTCAATAAATGTACGGTAGAAATGTGTGTCAAGCTGTTGCAGACTTAATTGCCAGCTGTACTTTGCCACTAGTTGCACTTTATCTACTGGACAGGTAAAGATTTTCCAGAGATGGAAAACACAAGGTTCAAGGACAGAGCTCGAGTTGGGTGGTCTGAAGGGCTTGACCTGGCTTCACTCTGCTACATATACAGCAGCCCAGCTATATTTTAAAATTGTACATGGCATCTCCTAAGGACAAAGGGGGCAACCGTGATGTAACACATTAAGCTTATTTTCTAAAATAAATAAATTACAGATTAAGTATAACCTAGTGCATTTGTCTTCATAACTATTTTGACCCTTTATGTAAATTTCTCTTCAATGTCCGGTGTTGTAGGTATCTTATTTTCTAAAATTCTGCTTCCCCTTGCTTATACTTACACATCAAAAGAAAGTAGAAAGTACTTACACAAACACGATATCACCTCTCTTTGAGTAAGCAGGTATTGCACTAGCTATGGTTGCAAATCCATAGGAATAAATGATAGCCTCTTCTGTCCTCATAAATTTAGCCAAACGTTCTTCCAACTCCAAGTGAACATCTGAGGTTATCCAAAAAAAAAGAAAAAAAACTTAAATGGAAATTATTCCTTAAATGTAATTAAACCAGAAGAGATTAAATCACTTACAGTACCGAAACACACAAAACAAATTACTTGGATGCAAAAATTAAAATAATCATACTGCAAAACTATCGAACTTCAAACCCATAAACTTGTACATCGTCTAATTTTCTCCAGTTGTCCATATTTGGTTCACATGCAGAAACAAACATACAACAGGGTCTACTCCAATAACACATCCAACATTCATGTTCCGAAAGCTAGAATTATAAAGGACATTGATCATGATCTCCTCTTTATAGATCGTATCACTGTGTGGAAGATTTCAACAAAATCGTCAACTCTTTATGTTCACATTAAGACATATTTTCCCGGTCTTTAGGCCATGTACTAAAAAATACATAGCTTACCAAAGGTTCCATAAAAACCTCTAGGACCACAAGTGCCAACTCCATACTTTTTAAGCGATGCTAAAGCTTTGTTCTGCCAGAAGAAAGAAAACTTAACATTAACATTAAACACAAATTTCAAAAAGGAACTTTCAAACACAAGATCAGTTCCTTTTTACAAAAATACTTCAATGACTTATGTGAAATCATTCTAATTTCAATTGCAAAAAATCACTAAGTGGGGGAAATACGTACATAAAAGTACAAATTGTCTAAAGGGTAACGTAAACAAGCAACTGTGGCAAGGTAAACAAGATTAAATGATCACCACTACTACATGAAAAAGAGAAACACAGAACTAAATGTTTAAGATCCTATGGACTTTGAGCAAACAGATGAAAAATGTAGAATCAATTACTGCAAAGTAATGGAACAAAATATTACTGAAATCAACAATGAGTTAAAAATAAAAGATCCAAGACTTTACACTTTTGTATTTGTATCTGTAATTAATGGCACCTTTAATTTTGAGACAAATGTGATTCTCTTAAATCATGTTAAGAACAGATGAACAATTTGAACAAGTGGGGTACACACTATTCTGTAAACCATACAAACCTTAACTCGCTCATTTTCAAGCATTCCAAGGAAATTGAATGAAGCAAAGTTGATGCACTCCTTCCCATTCACTGTGATATTATGACTTGGAGGACTACAAGGGCAAGACACTGGGGTTAGCTAAACAAACACCGGATTGACCCAGCTTGACATTGAGTCCATCTAGTATCAGAATAATCTATGGATTACACAACTATGCATAAGAACAAAGGCGACAAAATCTGAAGTCTACATTTACATCATAAAGTTTTGTTAAGTATCTGTATAAATCAAACCATACATTTCACTTAACAAATAAGGCTTATTAATGAGAAAAAGTAGACATAATTCTTTACCCTGAAACAACATCATAATTTAGAGAAGGATGGTCCTTTGACACAGGAGGGACTAGTGGTTCTGGTTGCCATTCTTCAATCAGTTCCTCCTTCTCCTGTAACAGAATAAGAAATGATCGGCTTTGAGAAGGAAAGTACCATTTAGAATAAAATGAGGGGAGAATTTCTATTGTACGTTTCTACGTTTTCTATCGGTCATTAAGTGAAATATTTATATAGCGCTTTGCATCACAGAGGATCTCAGAGGATTTTATACAAAGAAGGGGACCCACTTCATTCACTACTGAAATCCAGCATCCACCGGGTTTAAAGGTGACAGCAGAACCACATCACAGGTATCAGGAACAGAATAGGAAAATTGTGTCAATTGAATAAAAGAAGAACTTTTGTCAGGATCTCTGTTTAATGTCTCATCTGAAAGTCAGCACCTCTGGTTGCAGTTTCTCCAGTCACCATACTGAGGAACTGGTTTGGCAAATCTGCTCCAGACAGAACTATTGGCCAACTAATACCACTTACACGTGAGGAGGTAGGAGGTGTCTGGGTGGTACAATACACCACACACTTCCTAATAACCGACTTCGCTATGCTCAGATGGATATTCATTGTCTGAAGAAGTTTTCACACTCTTGATCTTGATTTACCTGATTGAGGAACCTTATGGAGGCAGTTGTATTTATTCCGAAATCTTGTAAAACAGTATTACCGCACACATAGCCCACTCAAATGGGTAATTTGTCACAGTAAAGACAGTGTATACATATGCAATCAACATAATACATGTTTTGGTGACATTGAACTCTTATGAGTGAATGACATTTGAGAATTGTTTAGAGTAATGTGTTATTCTATGTTTTGTGTAAGAGAACTCGGAAACTCCTTAAAGTTAAAGTTTAAACTGAAACTGATTTTTTTAAGTCATACAGATACAATCCTGAAATCCAAAATGGAATATATATTGTGATTCTTTACCTTGTCTGTGAGGTCTGAGCGATCTTGTAGTTTATAGGTTTTTGAGAAGAGCAGCCGGATTATCCACAAGATAAGGATGCCTTCTAGGATCAGATGATATGCTGGTGCCTGGAAAAGGTGTAAAATGCAAAAATAAATAAGACAAGCTTGAAAACTTAAAATAGCAAAATTCAATCATGTAAAACTGTAACTTTTAAATGTTAACAGCACAATGGCACAATTAACAAAACAAGAGATTTACACTCCTTATAAAGCAGGTTTAACTAATTTTACCTTGAAAGATTTTGCCACAAACACCATTGTACACCTGGCTCCTCTTTTATACTTATATTTTCACTGAACAAAATCAGTTAGACATCAAAGGGAAAGGAAAGAGATTGGCTTCCTTTATTTACTTTTATTGCAGACTTCGATTTAAACCCTTACCAGTGGTCACTGGTGCACTGATCTACTTAAGACTTCACAGATTATATCTGACCCCTCAAAGACCATATCATGAGAATCGAGTTCCCTGTGTAGCTTGGAAATGCTGTCCAGAGGAGAACTTGTGCAGAGCACTTAGTAGAAGGGGCTTCTGTTGGAACTGATTTTCTGTATCCTTAAATGGAAGCTCTAGGAGGGGAAGTTCTTCATTCCTGAATCACATTTTATTTCTTGTGTTAAGAGGTATAAAAAAAAAAAACAGAAAAAAAAGTGTTTGACAGTTGGGAACACATTCATACTGTAGTTTCTGAACCTATTTATGACACATAACACTAAGCCAGCAAACCAAAAGGAACACTCCTAACATAATACCTTGCTTCTTTAATCATATGTTAAATAGTATTGTAGTTTTTTGTAATGTTTAAAAAACATTAGGTTAAAAATGTCATTGCACGTACTGTGAAAAGCAGGTGTTCCTTTTTAATTGTCAGACTTGCTGAAGGAGCTGTACCAAGCTCAATGTAAGACATTTGGATGGATGTTCTTAAACAGGGGCTTTAAAAAAAACGTGGCTTCTGATCCTTCCCACTGATAATATCAGTGATATACTGTATGCAGCATGACAGTAATGCAAGTTGATCATTCAAGTAAACTGGTAAGATGCTGGTTCAATAAGCAAGCCATTTGTTAAGGCAGCATAATACAATATGACTGAATGAAGAGATCAGTACCTACCTGGCAATACAGATTTTATAAAACGTGTTATACTAGCTTTTGGTAAAGTAGCATGACTAAGGTGTAAAATGGTGACCAAAGACAATGTCAATTAAGTTATTCCCTAGATTGAAAGGAAGGAATATTTTCACAAGAATCTGATACGGCACGCTTACGTACTACCTCATTAATCGATAAAATAAACTTTGCAGTCTACTTTTTAAATACATTGCAAATAACAGAGTATCTCCAACAATCTACGAGAAGAACTAACGAACCAAATGGTGACTCAATACATTGCTATTTGAGCCCAAACACCACTTGAAAACAAGAAGAACTGGAAATTTTTCAAAACTCTACAATATTTTTTTTTCGTGATAACTTTAGATGAACAAAAATACGTTATTTTCACAACAAACGATTGGCTTAAAATAACTTTCTGTGACATGTATTAAATTATCTATCTATACACCACGCCACACAGCGCTGTGATTCATTACTGCTGGATAATGACGTACAATTAGCTTTAACTATATATAATAAGTCAAAGGCAGATAAAATGTTCTTTCGTCCAGATGCTAACTTCCTATGTAACTAGGTACATGCCTGCGTTAATACCCTATTGGTCGGAGTCAATTGTACTGTTCTTCTTATAGGCCTGTACAAAAAAACAGAAGAAAGTTCACCCCTTTCCGATAGACCGTTGGCTACTTCAGATGTCAATCATATCTGGTAACCTCGACAACACTTCCTGAAGTACAAATATATTTTTTTTAACTTGGGAGTTTTCAATGCCGTACCATTTTGTTCCGGGATAAATGACTTTCATCTACATCAAAATATGAATTTGCACAAATGAATACATCCAGCTACCTTAAAAACCCACGGAATTACAAAGTTAGATAATTACCTCATAGAAAGCCTGGACCATCTCCACTAACACCCATTGCTGACCGGACGCCATCTTGGTATGCTAACCACGTGACGGAAACGACGTTTCAATATCTCGCCGCAATAGCAGCGCGCATGCGTATTTGAAAGTTTAGGGAAGCCTGCAATCTTGATTTTCGAAAGCTGTGGAAACGCATGTCTTTCTTGTAAAAGTTATACAGTAGAGTAGGTGATTCTTGTATGCATTTGACCACCAAAAGAGTATATTGTTTTAATAGTGCTGATCAGACATAAAGTAGGTTTAGGCGCTGTTTTTAGGAGTAATTATGATTACAACCCTAAAAAACCCTAAAGAACCCTATAAAACACTATTGCACGTCATTCGTAAAGATTGTTTAACAAACACGTAAACTAAACATATTTTTTTTATTTTACAAGCACAATACAAACATTTGAACTATTTTGCATTTTTTATATTATATAAATAGTAGACTTTACGCTGAATTTATAAATATATTTACAGTGCCTTGCGAAAGTATTCGGCCCCCTTGAACTTTTCAACCTTTTGCCACATTTCAGGCTTCAAACATAAAGATATAATTTTT